CTTCTTTGAGAAGAACCTTATAGCCTTTGTAGTTTGGACTATAACCAAGGAAAACAGCAGATTGAGACCTGAGGTCTAACTTGTCTTTGGTGTAGGGTCTCATGTGAGGGAAACACTGGCATCCAAATGACCTGAGATGAGAATATGAGGGAGATAGGCCAGTGAGCTTCTAAAAAGGTGTAATATGACCAATGGTTTTATTGGGAATTCTGTTTATCAAGTAGAGAAGGCTTCTTGCCAATATTTTTTGGGTACTGAAGATTGGGACAAAAGACTTAGAGAAGTTTCAATGACTTGTCTATGTTTCCTCTCCACAAGGCCATTTTTTTGGGGTGTGTAGGGGCAAGAAATTATGTGGTGTATACCAAGGGAAGCAAATTGGGTGGCGAGGGGTTTGAATTCAGTAACACCATCACTCTGTACCATCTTGATCTTATGGTTAAATTGCCTTTCAACTAAGCTTCTGAAATGATTAAAGGCATTTAAAGTATCTGATTTTTGTTTGAGAAAATAAATCCAAGAGTATTTAGAATAATCATCCACAAATGCAACATAATATAAGGAACCTGAAATGGATTTTAAGGGTGCAGGCCCCCAAAGATCAGTATGAATGAGTTCAAGAGGATGCTTAGAAACAAAGGAAGAATCTGGAAATGGCAATTTGTGAGACTTTGCCTTAATACAGTCATTACAAATAGATAAATCTTTGTTCTGAATAAAAGGAACATTACAAGCTTCAAGAGCCTTTTTAGTAATATCTAGAGAAGGATGTCCCAACCTTCTATGCCAAAGTAACAAGGGTTTGGCAGCACTAGCAACATAAACTAAAGGTGATTTAGAGCTTAGACTTCTATTAGACTTGTGAGGCAAAGACTGCTTATGGTGTGCAACATCAAGATTGAAAGTATAAAGCCCCCCTTTAAGTTTCCCTGTGAGAAGAGCCTGGCCTGTAGCTCGATCCTTCACAACACAAAATGTAGGATAAAATTCAAAATAAACTCCATTATCTTTGGCAAATTGAGCAACACTTATCAGATTTTTGGCTATTTTGGGAACATGCAGTAAGTTGTTGAGTTTAAATGTGTGTTTTCTGTGAGTGTAATGTGAGGGAGTGACAAAACTCTTACCAACATGTGAGATGTCAAGACCTGATCCATTCCCTATTTGAAGTTTGTTGTTGCCACCATAATCAGAGGCTATGCTCAAGTTAGAAAAGTCATTGGTAACATGATGAGATGCTCCTGAATCAGGGAACCACTCATTTTCAAGTAGAGGTTCTTTGCTAACAACAAGAGCTGAGGAGTTGTTGCTGTTTTTGTTCTCTGAGTAAGATCTTTGTCCTTGTGGGTTGACAACAAAGTCTGGATTGAACCTGTTATAACACCTATCTGCTGTGTGGTTTGTGTACCCACATATTTGGCACTGAACTCGATTGTAGTTGGACGTGGTTTGTGTACCCACATATTTGGCACTGAACTCGATTGTAGTTGGACCTGCCTCTCCCTCTATTGCTCCTTCCTCCTCTGCCTCTGTAATTTGTGGCTTGACCTCTGCCTCTCGTTGTAAAAGAACTTTGAAAGTTTTTGTTTGGCTGGGACTGAGTGGCAATATGAGCTGAAGGGAGGTTGGAGTCATTAGAGGTTGAGAAAGCTTCAAGTCTGCTTTCATGAGTCATAAGGAGAGAAGTGACATCCATTAGAGTGAAAAGATCTGGCCTGGCATTTATGCTAACCACAACAGCATCATATTCTGGTCCAAGGCCACTTAGAACATGCATGACTTGATCTTCTTCTGGTATCAAGTGGCCTCCTGCAGCTAAAATGTCACAGTAACCTTTTATCTTGTTCACATACTCTCTTATGTTCATGCTCCCTTTCTTGAGATTTTGCAGTTGAATCCTGTATTGCATTGTTCTTGCCCTAGATCTGGTTGAGAATGTTGACTCAAGGCTGTTCCAAATCTGGTTTGAAGTATTCATACCAACAACTGAGATGAGAATCAATTCTGATAAGGAGGACAACAACCAAGAGGCCAACTGTTGGTCTTGCCTTTCCCAAGAAATAAACTCAGGATTTGTCTGCAGCAAACCTTCTTCTTGTGCTGGGATAAATCTGGTAGGAGGTAAAGTGGTTCCATCTAAATAACTTCAAGGCTAAATCCTCTTGCCGTGGTGAGCACCTGTTGCTTCCAGATCAAGTAATTCTCATCAGTTAACTTGAAGGATATAAGCTGATTTTGAAGCTGTATGGGAGGATTTCTGTTTGGTGCTTTTGCCATGATAAAAGAAAAGAAAATACCAAGATGATACAGAGCGAGTTAAACCCGCTCTGATACCATGATGGATTCCAAACTCAGAATGAAAAACCAAAGGATAAAAATAAGAGCACAAATATTCATGTTCATCCA